TGAGAGTAATAGTGATCGATGGAAGTTGAAAGACACTCATCGTCGTCGAAATGATCGTACGTTACGCTCACATACTGCTACCCAAGCTAAGAAGCATAGGAAACAACATGATGCTACTGTGATTAAGAAGCCTAAACTTCGTTCTCTTTCGGATGCTATGACTAGCAATGGAAATAGTAGTCATCGTAATCTTAGTAGAGACAGCGATAGTAAAGAGACAGAAAGCGTGAACAGTCCACCTATAGTGACTAGTCGATCAACTTCATCGAATGAGCCTTCTAATGTTTTGACGTCATCGGACTCTGCCGCGAATGTTAAGTTGATTGAGGATGCACAAGGTTGTGTAACTGTAAGTGTTCCTACTTCGGTTGACTGTCAGTCGAGTGATGATGAGAAGGAAGCGTCTGATGGTAACAGCCAGTCTACAGTGTTGCATGATAACGATGCTATTGATGTGCATATGTCGTGTGTCTCTGAAACGGAACATGAAGAACAACAAGTGAGTTTATCGGCTTTGGATTGTGACACTTATGCTGTTCTTTCATGTAGAGAGATGAGTTATACCACAATGGAAGAGTTTCACTCTACGGATGCTAGAGCAGACCGAAACGACGCAACTTGTCTGACAGAACGGAATCATGATGACGATAATAATAATCTGGATGTCACTGATATGACAAATGAGTTGCCGACGATGACGAATGCTGACCAAACCTCCTCTGTATCAGGAGATGGAGAGTTAGATATTGGTCCCATGTTATGCCACTTATAGTCTTCAGGAGACGAGGAAATATCAAAATTGGAGATCCCAACTTTGCATATTATCTACGGGTCAAGAACTTCTGTTGATAAGTCAGCATCACGGACTTCATTGTATCTGCCGATCGGAGAAAGTGGTGGTGGATTGACGACTCATCCCCATGATATGGAATGTAATTCCCGGATAGGATATGACCAGCTTTACGATGTGTTGTACATGTTTATATGGGTTAATTGGATAAGCTTTATACTACCGTTAGGTCATGCTACGATAGATAGGGGAATCAAGGGCCTGATGGGAAGGTACAGGTACCTAGTTAGCTTGATAAGTCATATCCATGTTGGAGGGAGGGTAGGCGTACTGCTGTAAGTCCTACACGTTCTTCCGGTGTGGATTAGGGGATGAGAGTGAACCCAAACTTGAAGTGTCAATAAGCGCTTGTTTTTTGCATGGAGGGATTTTGCGGGCCGGTGTAGAATCTTTTTTGAATGTTTTGTTTTTTGGAAAATCCCTCCATGTTTATATATTTGTGTTATGACTCTTTCTGTTGACATTTTGGTACTCTATTTGATTCCATTTTGAGATTTTATCATTGTGTATTGTTATTATTTCTATAACTTGTACTTATATTGAAGTTTTTATGTTTGCTTCTGAACTGTACACGTGTTGTTTAAATTTGATCTTTAATATGGCTACAGCCATATTTGGATTTGATACTGTTGCGGTTGGATCTAGCATCACTTATTCTTTTGGAACCGGATACCCATCAGGATAATTGGGACTTGGAAGGTGTATCAAAAGTCAGGTATTTGTTTGTATTTCCATTTTTTTATATAAATAGACCACTTTCTCCTAGAATTATTGTGTTCTGATATTGGACTAGGAGAGGGGTGCGTTCGACTTACACCTACTGGAAACAAATTGAACTGCTACGGTAGAAAATTCATCTACATACCTGTTCAAAGTGAGCAGTAGTGTCTTGACCATAGCGAAGAATTGCGTACGTAAAGTTATTAAGGTCAACATCAATGCAGAAGACCTACAGAACTTTGTGGTTTGTAGATTTGTTTACCGCTACAGTTGTGTAATGTCCAGCCTTCGTTAGATTGTGTATAGCTTGAAAGTACCTTGTGTGCTGGGAGGGTGTGGATCGACATGCGGTGTTATCTAGAGCAGAAGGAAAAATGAACCGAAGATATATAAGATGCATTTATATTGAATATAGAAGACAATTGACAACAGTTAGAAAAAGCAGATGCGCAAGAATGAGACAATCCGATAGTCAAAAGTAAACGTTGGTAGCATGAGTTTTGAAATACTTCATAGAAATTATTAACTGAGCTCATTTTGTTATGTAATGTCAAGAGATCAGGATACAGAGCCAGAAGACTTTATCAAGGCCCATTAGGCTACATCAGACGTCCCCAACTTAATCTGCAATTAAATATGTTCTATTTCAGAATCATCACCAGCTTTTCCTTTGAATATCTTCTTAAGGAAATGATTGACATGCAACAGGAGAACAGTATTGTCCAAATTAGCCATATTCAGAATGTTTTAAAACAGTGTCAGTATCCTTACAAAATCTACTAAGATAATAACATTCGAGGTTTAATCAGACTCCGTTATTGCCATAAATGTGCGAATACGACTGGTTTACACTAAATAGCAGACAATACTAAGACCTGGTGGTCCATAAGTAGCGAAGAGGATTCGACTGAGATTTAAAAGCCTTACATCTATTTAGGAGTGGGCAATGAAAAATGGGTTTAACCTCAAATAATCGAAATGTCAAGTGATGAACCCTGCCTCGCGTGACGCAAACAAATTAAACACTCAGAAGAAATCCGTCCCCTTACGTCTTCTTTGAGTGCGATCTCTGTCTAATAACCATAGTAAGCCTAGAAACCAGTTTCAACTATATGAGGGACGCAACCAAGCCTAACGCGACTCTTCAGTTTATGCGAAGACAACTTGGTGCTATCACTCCATAACTGTTCTTAACTCTCGCTAAAGCATACGCACGCCCACCCCTTGAATTTCAAAGCGTCGTCGCACCCCTTCTCCTTAAAAGGGACACAAATTTCTCGCATTGATTGAGGAGACGAGCAACTAAATGGGTGATAGGGTTGAGGAACGAACCTTACGAAGATAGACTCCAACGTTTGAAACCATTCTTGCTGAGTTACAGCAGAATCAGAGCCGATCTGATAGTCGCGTACAACATATTAAGCACTCAAAATCATCTGAACTTGAGCATCTTACCGCAGCATCACCACCACGCTTCTCAAGGTGATCTTCGAAAGAATTGCACATAAAAGAGCGAACACCCAGATTCTTACACATTTTTTCTCATTAAGGGTTGTCACGACTGGAAATGCTCTCTCAGCCGAAACGACCACAGACTTTCAGTGGAAAGCTTTAGGAACGGACTTGATAAACACGTACTCACATACGGATTATCATTTCGCTCTTGGATCAGTTGTACTTGACATACGGTTTGAAGCTTGCTAGTTGTTATTATTGGCATTTCCTCAGACCATTGACCCAATCAATCTCGCTTATTATTTCTGTTTCCTTTCTCTCGCTTACACTTTGTTCCTCTCTAACAATATTCACTACCAATTAATTAAATTATTTATCAATCTGCCTACATAGTTCTGGAATCTTATTATTATCATCCGAATTTTCTCCCCATTATTTCCCACACTGCAAATAACTGATCTCCGTCCTGATAACGTGATAGTTTCCGGTTTCGAGAAACCTTACTACCTGTAAACAAACGCACTGACAGAAAGCACGAGATATACAAATTAATGAATAACTGCCGACTGACTAGGCTTATTGTGGTCGAGTGCCTAGACTACTGGATGTTACCAAATACCCGGAATTGTACAGTAAGCACAAGGATCAGGCCGAAAGAAATCAACTGGTTTACTTTAGCTCGTTTAAACCATCTTGCAAATTGGGAATGCAATGAGGTGCGTGGTTTATGCTATCTTCAAAGTGGCGGTTGTTTTGAGCATTCGGTCGGTTGACTTGTTACCTTTGTAGTTACTGTTATTTTAGTTAGATTTCACAAATCTCTGACACCGTAATTAATCTTCCACTGTATCATCTCGTTTACTTTCGATATTACCTTAGTTTTAACTGTACCTTGAATTCGAGAAAAATCTAGTGACAAAATTTGAGAAAATCGCACCTTTCTGGGAAAATAGTTACTTTTTCACTTGAGCTGTCGCTTTCAAGGAAAATTCCCTTTCACTACCCGAATAAGAACTGTCTAATGTACCTTTATTTTCCTTGTGATTTGATCCAGTTGTTTTTCATGTGTTATGGCCATTCTCACTTCTCTAGAGCTTATTCACACACTAGATACGAAGTTGTCCCAAGAGGGAATGAAAATACTGAATCTGTAACTGTTGTACTAAAGTTGATAACTTTCAACATTGTAAATATAGTTATTCTCCTAAACACCTAGATTCATTATCAACCGCAACACTGGTGAGAGTACTTGCAAGCTCGCAGTGTGACACATGGTTAACTCATAAGCAAACAGTTTACTCCGTAACAGCAGCCAAGTTTAGTTTCCTAAAGCGCTCCAATAAACCTGTATTCCCTCAGTGATAAGCTTTGTCTTCTGAAAGGCCAGAAAAGTAAATTATTCTCCCACTTATTTTATACACTTTAGTTCCTATCTAAGTTAATCAGTGTCCCACTTCTAATAGATGTGAGAGCTCGTTCTTCGAAAGTTATTTTCTCACCTGTTAAAGCCATTTATATTACATGTTTTGGGATTTGAGTTGTGTTGTTGATATTTATTTATTCGACCAAGTGTTTATATCCTCTTGGAATGAACGAAGGAAGCTGTTCCCACACTTTTTATAAAGGCCTATAAGTTGTAGATAAATGAATGACAGCTACTGCTGTTAAATGAAGCTTAGTCACCGTTGCGAAATCGGTCGATGAATCCTTTCTGTTACAGCGCTTGAACTGAAATTGCAGAAACTAAAGACTCCTATATCAGTATCAGTATCGGCAGCCCATTTAACGGTTATTCGTTCTGACTGTACATGTTTTACTTATATTTTATCCCTTTTGAGTTAATCTATCATATCATATTTGTTCCTGTTTGAAATGTTTTTCAGTAGATCGTTGCTGGTTGACTAGCTCAATTAATACTGGTTAACAAATCTAACTACCCTACCAGAACTAACTTTTGGCGAGTTGCAACACAAGCATGAGTAGCAGTGAAGAAATCTCTTGGATATCATGGTTTTGTGGTCTACGTGGAAATGAATTCTTCTGTGAAGTCGAGGAAGACTATATTCAAGATCGATTCAACCTTACCGGTTTGTCGGAGCAAGTTCCTAAATACCGTGATGCTCTCGATATGATACTTGATTTAGAAACTGGTAAGGCGTTCAAAAATTTCGTTTTGCAAGATAACCGTTCATTACATTGTTTTTTGAACATCTTTTGACTGTTAAGAGTTGAGCGTGGCACTGGGTGATGGCATATCGATTGTCGTTGAATTTAAGCTAGTTTTTTCGTGTCTGTTATGTAGTTTATTTTTGGTAATTAGAAGATATTTTACTTGCTTTGCTGTTTTGTGATCAGCAGCTTCGGTAGTTACATTGTGATATCTTGAGCTTCGAGATCCCTACCTTTCGGTTGTCGCTCTTCAACTGAAATGTCGGGCGTAGTATGGCCTAAATAAATAATTGATCCGGTTGCATTCAACCACCACGACTGGTGAGCCTAACTGGCATATCAGAATAGCAGTTGCGGTTTGGTAAGAGGGTTGACGGAGTTCGTCGTTTTGCTCAACCAGAATGGCCAACAGTCAAAATCAATTTGAGTAATCGTTGATTTTCATAAAGTTGGTTGTACCACTGTCCCGGCAGTGGTTTTCGGTAGCCGACTTTTGGGATGGTCAGGTCTATCGTATCCTGTTGCATTTGTTTTTTCAACGTTATCATAACTTTTTCAATTTCATGGAAAGGTCTAGGAGTCGCTTGTGTATGTTTTTGTCGGGATCCTCTTGCTAACAAGTGGTGTGAATGTAGACAAGCATTTTACTCATCATTCATAAATCCTAGAACCTGACACAGATATATGTCGGTTCGTGATGTCGTACCAACCACTGTGAGATAAAATTAACTAAATGGATGGCTGAAAAATCAAAATAAAAGTAAGAATAATAAGGAAGACTAAATATTGATTATGGGGCTTGAAAAGACCGGAGAAGTATTATAGGAAAACAAAAACTCAAAATCTAGAGTAAGATTAATAGTGAATTGATCTGCTTCGTAGTAAGTGATTGTGAGCCATGCCTTCGATGGTTTTACTTCTCTGGAAGTACTTTCCTTCAGAAGTACTTAAGAAATGAAATCATTCCTGAAGTAACGTTTCACTAGATATCAACGTTTAAAATTTTTTAAAACCTAATTTTCTTAGAATACTGAACCCGTTATTTAAAGTAGCTATGTGTTTTCCTCACTATTGTCTGTTCTGCTGTACTTTGGGACACTAATCTCACTACTTAAAAAAAACAGGCGAGTTTACCAACTAATATATTTTGTCATATTTGGCATCATGTAAGATGTGTAAAAAATAGCTTGTCAATTCCTGTGTGTATACATAATAGTGTCCATATTTAGTAAAAAATAATCAACAGAGCCAAATGTCTCTCCTGACTCGTTTTGTAGATTTGTGCTATATACATCCGTTGTATGCTAGTCAGTGAATATAAAAATTGCTATACTTTTAGATCCTTCTGATCATCCAGAAGATACTGATGTCATTGAACAAGCTGCTGAAATGCTATATGGACTAATACACTCTAGATACATTCTAACGAATCGTGGCATTTGTTTTATGGTGGCAAAGTGGCAGCAAGGAGATTTCGGTTATTGCCCTAGAGTAAGTAAACTTTTCCTACTTGTATATGTGAAACTTTAAACATTCATTCACTTTCACATTTGAGAGGAATAAAGACAGACTCATTTCATTTCTGAACAACCAGGACTTGAACTTATATTTCTGAATGTCATTTTACTACGCTTATTTTACTCAACATATATTTAGACAGTCATATTTCCGTAGAACCTCGCATATGACTGTAATTTACAATCGTTCGAGTGAAAAGTGTTTAAATAAATAGGAATATGGGTCAAAAGATATTGGCTTCAGCTTTCTCCTTAAAACTCTTTGAAATGCTTCAATAAATCGAGGATTTCTCATAATGCGCAAATCCTTAACTCTAAGAATTTCTGCCTAACCTAGCGGTTGGAGCGTACCAACAATTTGAATTCGACAACTGAACATGGCGATTGCCCAAAACAGCTTCGACTCATCCTAATCAGTGCGAGCAATGAATTGGATGGTAATCCAAAATGAAGCACACTTTTGTGTATCAATTTCTTTGACAGAACGCAACTCATGACTTCTTATGGAATAAGATTTTAAATAGCATAGATTATCAAAAGAGGTAGGTCTAGTATTAACGTAAGGAAGTAGTCGTCGTCGTTAAAGTACTACATACAAACTAAAGGAAGATTCGTAATGGTCAAGATCTATATAGGTGAGCAAGTGATTATTTTATCCTTCTGAGCAATACCTCATCGCTTAGTTGTTAATCAGTTTTCATAGTTTTGGCAATGATTGTTTTATCACTGTGATTGAGTGTCTTCATTCGTTTAAGACAAACTACGGAAAAAGTGAACCAAGTGGACTAGAAGAATTTACTTTTAGTGTATCTAAATGCTCAGCTACTAATGTGCACTTTTTAATGCTTTTATTATTAAAGGTATATTGTGAAAGTCAACCATGTTTACCAGTTGGTCTATCAGATGTTCCTGGTGAAGCTATGGTTAAGATATATTGTCCTAGATGTCAGGACACCTATACACCGAAATCCACTCGTCATCATCATACAGATGGAGCGTATTTTGGCACTGGTTTCCCGCATATGTTGTTTCTAGTTCATCCAGAGTATAGACCAAAACGAGCTAGTAAACAGTTCACTGCTAGGTAGGTTTCATCACCGAAAGTGTTTATACATCTATTCATATCCTTATTTAAAGCGTGCATAAATTACTTGTAAAGAAAAGTAACTATACTTACTACCTAGTAACTTGATGCCGATTTTCAGCCACCCTGTAAGTTTGAGCCCCACTCCACCTACTTTGCTTCAAGCGAATGGATAGCGTTACTAGCTGTCGCAGTTAGATTGTGGCTAAAAGTCAAGTACACAAATTTGTACCTGATAAGTGAGTTACTAGGTGTTTGTGAACTAACGCTTGCTGAGACTAAAGCTAGCTGTTTGATAGGAATGACTAGAAATTTTCCACTGCTTTAGGTTAACGATTTCTGTAACAATGTAACAGCGCATATTACTGATATCATTGAACGTAGCTCCAAAGAAACGGGTGTGAAGTCGACCTGGGTTTTGTTTTATTGGTCGCAGGTTTGTACATAGTAGGATCACAATAATACTTGATGAGGAGCTAAACAAGTATTAAAATTCTCAGGAAGCTTCCTGCAACGGTAGCAACATTTAGCTACCAAATAGAATTTCCGATTCGTAATGATATTATGACACGCAGACAAGATGAAACGATAAAAATCGTATAGATGTAAATTCGAAATCAACAGCATATTACTACGGTGTATGATTACTACTACTAATTAAAACAAATTAGTCACATGGTCAAACGTAATTCAAAATGTGGCACATGTGTGCATCGGTTCAAGTTGCCATTACCCTATTAAAACTAAGATCAGATTTTTGGGCAAATCTCAGAGTAATCAAGGCGGTAGCTGTACTGATGGAAATAGGAAAAAGATAGACACTCAAGATAATCTCGGGAAATAATACAAAAGCTTGTGAGGAATTTGTCAACTTGGGATCTAAGTGGTGACAAAGAGTAAGTGCACCTGTCATTGCGAAAGGTTTTGAGGCATGTGAAACAAACTCTCCAACTATTAGCTGCAATGATGACGCGGACTCCAACAAGAAAGTCGACATTTGTCTACTTGGCTCAGTTAATCCAACTAACTATCAACTCGTTTGTGTCTAAAGTGATTCATTATCTTTCTGATGAAAACAAAGTTGTGAGTTAATACAACAGTTATTTAAACACACATATTCCTCCGAATATTGCTACTTCACTTAGATGTGATGTGATGCGAAGTTGAAATATTAAGCCTAAAATTTCAGTGTTAATTCATTAGAGAACGAGTTACTACCTACTAGTTGATTTCCTCCAATCATCCGTGTTATTTGATTACGTTGATTCTTTTTTGTTGATCATGTTCTGTAACATATGTGATTTATTTTGTCAAGTGGAAAACCTATTCTTCTGATTTAGTAGTCTTGTGTCTGATTTTTAATCATTCGAAGGCTTGAGCCTATAATGCAGTCTCATAAAAATAGCCATCACTCGGTCACCATATCCTATCACTGAGTTTTTCTGTTTGTTAACACTGTACTCATCTAATTTAGCATTTGGAAATTGTGTCTTATCGAATAATCAGAAATCCTCTCGACATGATATTAATATTGTGAAAAAAAATTCGTAACATTCTTCTTGAAAGAAGGATAATTGGGGTGAAGTTGTAAAATTGCCAATACTATAGTGTATTAATAGCACTGTATTTTATTTTAACTATATTCTGCCTGGATAATAATAAACTGTATCAAACAAATGCTCCTCCATATTTTAAGTTGAATTCCATGTGGGATCGATAATATGAGTACCAAAATTGTTCCGATGTTCACACTTAATGCAACTCCTTTATATGGATGGCATCATTGTTTTTATTAAAATTGATAATCTTCATAAAAAGGACTGATCAAACATTGTGGCTAAGTTAAAAAGCATTACTTATTTATACACTACAACCAACTGGAGAAATTTTCCATCAGTTAAAATGTGTAAATTTTTATGACTCCAAAGAAGTAATTTGTAATTGTTCTACGACTTGGTCCACCTGCCATGAGATTGAACCATTGGGCGGGTGGGTTGTCAGGTCGACAATGCTAAGTGTTCAGGTTTGAAATCGGCAAGATGGTTTTTAACAAGTGAATCGCGGCTCGCAAATTATGTACATAAAATAGCAACCTTAGATTATAGTCAAACTAACTATTTGAATGTTATGAGTTTATGAGAGTTATGTCGGCTCTTAAACAGTAAACAAACATGCTTTAATGCACAGTTTGTGTTAAATTTCACACTTACTGTTATTTTGTCATGCTCAATCTTAACAAATATGAAAATATGTTATTTTCAAAAAATTTTTCACCAGGTTATTTGGCTTTAAAATACATCCTTTGGCTTACCAACTACAATATCAAGCTGCTGCTAATTATGTTATGCCTGTACGCCCTGGTTTCCCAAAACGTACATAAACTGCAAGACAGTACTGTTGTAAATCATGTTTTATTTGAGTGAGGGTGGTGAGATACTTCTTTGTATTTTTTTCAATATCTCCTTCGTGAATTCACCAATTAAAATGAAATATCGTCTTAATATAATCAGATAATTGATTTTATCTTTTTATAGTTAGTGCTTTGTATGGACATATTTTTATTGGAAATCTGTTAACGTGTTGTGTAAAGCTATTGCACCGTGTAACCCCCGCTTTAAACCGTTGATAAGATGTGCATAAAGCATCGATGCAACTCAACTCATTCCACCTCAGCAGTTCAAACTTGTGTCCTTTAGTTAGATATTTTAAGCTAAACGCTTCGTCTGCAAATAACCTTTTGCGATAAAAGATCAGATAAGGAAGTTAGGTGTTGTGACACCCTGTTTTCCACTGTTATCCATCATCATGCTTCTTACCACCGGATGTTCACTTCATGGATTGGAGCTTTCGTGGTACTACTGTATCATATTTTGTGTTCAAAATTGACTCGACGCTGGACTCATCTAAATCACGTAGCTATCAACCACCGTTGGAGAGGTTCGAAAGAAGACAGCCGCTAATTCAGGAGCTCATGTTTAGATGCAGATCATGCTCTGATGCGAGCACCTATTTATCAGCAACTTCTAGACGTAAGAAAGATGCAGCAAGGAAACCCTTTAGCGTGCTAGTTAATGATAGCGAAGCCTAGGGTTCATCTAACTGTGAACATGATGAATGGCGGAGTCAGCTTAAGCGCAGGGTGATAAAAAGCCTACGCAATGATCGCGAACATGAATGAGTAATGAATTTGTTATAATGCTGCTACGTAGCTATTCAATCCTACCAACATCCGAATTCAAATATTGCAATACGACCCAAATACTATTCCCAATGTCCTGTATATCAGAACACAACGCCGTTAGATGAAGTTGTTTAATGGGTTGAGTACAGTAGTGAGGAAGGCATGAAGGAACGGAATACAAAGCTTTACAGATACTGCGTATTTATACATTTAGGTGGAATGGGAAAGAGTATCGAAGTCTGTGATGACATTGACAGTTAAGACGACCAATAGGGAAGAATATTTGCAATGACATTGACAGTCCGGACGACCAACAACATTGGAGTACGTGACATTGATATCTAGGGCTGTTAGTATATTCATACAATATCCCAAGAGAATTTTGGTCAAATCCTATTGTCAATGCCACAGAATTCGATGCTGTTTTCTATTCGACCGAAATGTATAAATACGCATTTATGACCACGACCAGGGCTCGGTCCCGGATCCCTAGTTCCGGGATCCTGACTCTCTTCTGGATTCGGACCTTGTACTTTCTGGATGCTTGTAGAATACACGTTCTACTTCATATCATGTCTTCTTATTTTTTACTAAATATGGGGGTTGGGACAATCGGATTTGAGTAAAATGTCGTGTCACCGGATCCTCGATCCTCGCTCTTGTTTCCGACCAGATAAACTCGTAATAGTTCAAGTATATCAAGTTGACCTGCTTACATTTAGGCGTAACAAGGACGACCATAAAATTAACCAGTAGGAATTGACTAATAATTCTCTTAGGATATTGGATGAATATCCTAACAGAATGCAAGAGAGATTGAAAAGGTGGCGGCGATAGGTAACAGTAGACAACTATCCCAACATACCAAGGAAATGTACTAGGAATGCAACTGTTTGCGTGACTATTTAGGTAAAAGACGGGACTATTATTCATCCTTAATACATGAGGTTGAATTTTTGTGGCTAAGTCGGGTTCGTTGTTCAGGCTGAACACTTGAGTTACTGAGTTAAATGCGAGATTAGGACTCACCACTTTAGTGGCCTGTTATCTGACTCCAATTCTTATGAATGATTAACTATTCCATTAAATAAATCTGCCCCTCAATTCACGAATATTGTGATTAGGTGAACCCCGTTTGTGCAATGGTGGTGATAAGAAGCCGAGTACGGATGCAGTTTGATGAACTTATTTCAGGCAGTGGTTCATGCAGATAGACATGTGAGTGAATAATGCACAAGCAAGGAGAGGTGAAGACGGAATGTGAGCTAACTCAATGCTATGAGGCATGACTAGGTATTTATAGTTAGACAATCTGAGCTATACATGTGATAAGCAAAGTAGGCATATCGCAGAAACTCTAGCAAAAACAACCAAGGATTCGGGCGAATAATAGGCAAGATCGAAAGACAAATGAATAGTGATTGAAGAAGAATGGACTAGTTAATTTGCCTAATGGTTGCGACAAGCAATATGTTCTTGCCACATTGGGATACACTACAGGATCTATGGGTAGAACACTTAAGGGAGCACAGTTCAACTGGACTTAAGCCACACATTGGTTACTCAAGATTCCCAATCAACCCGAAGAATAAGTTGATGTAAGGTTGGAAAAGGTTTAGAGAGAGCAGCAGGACCTAATAGAGTAACATGTGAGATTTTTAAGGATTGTGGAACATTTTTATCAGTTAAATTGACTGAGATCTTAGTAAGAATCTGGAAATTGGATGTGATCCTTTATGACTTGACTCAATCAGTGATTGTCCTAATCTCTAAGAAAGGACAAATGTTCTCTTGTGAAAACCACAGAGGGATCAGTTGAACTAATATAGTGTATAAAATGCTAGTCTCGATAATACTTGGACGCCTAACTAGAACTCGCAAAGAGCAGACTCGAGGGTACCAAGTAGGTTTCAGACCCGGACGTCGATATATAGAGCATATGTGCACGGCATGTCAGACCCTGGAACATTGATACATATATCGGCGTCCAAATGGAGTCGTATTCCTTGACCTTGAAGCGGCGTTTGACTCTGTTAATCGTGAGGTTCTGCAACAATGTTTGTCACTGAAAGGAGTACTAAAGAATCATATTAGCTTTACACAATCTGTACTGGAACACTGCGGGTCAAGTGAGAGCTTGTGGCACACTGTCCTCGGAATTCGTTACTTCAAGTGGTGTTCATGAGGACTATCCACTTTCTCCATTCTTGTTTAACTTGCCTTTAGATGCTCCACTTGCATCATCTTACCTACCAGGAGTTTCATTTACTGACTCAGAATATGTAGACGATAATCTTCTGTTCAGTAAAGACGGTGACAAAATGCAGAGTTATTTGAACGCCCTAAGGAAAAATGCAAGCGTGTTCGGAATGCGGAATTTTGCTTCAGGATAGGCTTGTACCGGCACCTGAACTAGTAATAGGGAGTGAAGCAGTTGGTCGTGCTAACTACTTCATTCATCTCAGTAGTCTACTCAGTCCTAACAGTCTAGTGTCTGACGGAACTTCAGTATGTATACGGAAGACTTGACTCGGTTTCTTTGGCTTCTGTAGCTTGTGGCATTGACAAAACTTTCCTCCGCTCACCGAAACGAGAATATACTGAGCAATGATTCGGCCACTTCTCTTACACTGGTGCAAAACATGGCCAGTAAGACTAGAGAATATTCGTGGGTTATTACCGTCTGATCATAGGTATCTTCGAAGCATTACTCGATTATCCTTTTCTCATCGAGTAAGCGACGCTAGTTTTTAGAATAGCGTACAAGGTGAGGATGGCAGATTCATTGACAAAGTATTGAAAAACATTAGTTGAGGTGATTGAGTCATGTATTCAGACTGTCCAACCATCGGTGTCTCGATGTGCGATGTTAGTTGATGTAGGGGTAGGCTTCGAGAAAGCAAAGGCAAAACCAATCCTGGCACAGATCCATGAAGTCACTGATAAGTGGAATCAGTCATGCCGGTAAGTGTAGACTACCTGGTTAGGTTCCGCAAGACGACAGTGCAAGACCTTTAATGGCACTCGTCAACACGTCCTCTCTATAGATTTGTGATTAATGATGCTTCCTGTAGGAGTCAGACACATACTATTCAGTTAACAGACTTATATGTTACGATTGAGTGGTTCGTGATATCACCGAACTTTACGACTAAAACATTCACAATTAGTGATTATTTTGCTTTGGAAACCGTGATATTTATCTAGTCCATGGTGCTGATCTAATTCTGTCACATCTATATAGCTGAAACCACCGTAATTGTAGTGTGTTGTTGAGTGATACGGGAGTTATTTTCATTCTCACTTGTAAAGTTCCTGTTATGTCTTTTTACTGACGAATAAGCACAGATGACATTTGAGTTATCTATACTCAACAAGGACGAAAAAAAATGCTAGTCGGAGGTCGGCTTAATACTAACTTTCCTCGAACTCAAAAGGGAGAGTACAAGACCGATGACCACCAGTCCAGAATTCTTATCATATTTCAGGCATGTATCCATATGCATACAAAAGTAGACCGTATTACAATAATAAATTGAATGTAACAGTCGTGCATGATGAATGAGCCGAAAGTGGCTGTGAGTAGGACGATAATAAACAATAATTCTTATGACAACAATTTATGGGCTGAAAGGAAGCTGTCGGGGTAAATTAGTTTTCTACCTTGCGATTATTTTGTTCAGATATTACAGTCCATTTTACAAAATTCAAGTAAGATGGTAGATTTTAGTTGATCTAAGTGATGTGATGTATACATGTGTATTGTACTTGGAATTTAGTGGTCAATGAAATATGTGGATAAATTAATTAGACATAAGATGGATGAAAAATTATTAGGTTCAGTTCAGGGTTATATTTCACTAAGGTTTGAATTTTCTAGTTCCCACAGATTTCTTAAGGTTGGGAATGCACTCTTGATATTCCCTACCTATATAAAGCTGTCTTAAGTTCAATTCTGTGACCATTTCAATTGAGTTTCGCTGTCGAAAACACGGCAACAAGCCCAAAACATTAATGCACTTTCAACATAGAGACTATGAACACTGACTGAGAAAGCTTCCAAGTTCTGACTGAACACTCCGATTGGACTATGTTCTTTATTAGTCACCAAATCTCTGAAACATTACATCGATTCATTGTTACCAGTAAATATGTACTAGAAATTCCTAGCCCCTACAAATCTGTCAAAACAATGACAC